TTGTCTGTAGCTTAAAATTAAGCATATTAATTTATTCCAACTTTATTTTAAACTTTCTGAAAAAGGTAGAAATGATGCTCAGTAAAAAATCTGTCACTTTCTGACAAACTAATGCTCTGATTATTTTTTTTTAATAGGAACAACTTTACACCACGGGTGATATTATTATAGCTGAATATAATAAGTCGGTAAAATGGTTCATTACATTTACGTGATCTGAAAAAAAAATTTTGATATTATCAAAATCATAAATATTTAATGAGCTTTTTCGATTAAGGTCAAAGCTACTTGAAAAAAATAAAAATTTATTCTTATCCAAAACTTTCAACTTTTTCAAAAATATCTATCTTTTCTAAATTGAATAATTTTATTTCAAACTATAATTGTTTGATGTATTTCAGAAAATTTGCGTCATCGATTTAATTCTAGAATATTATAAAATGTCTTATCAATTAATCACTTTTTTTTCCTCAAGGATGAATTGGTGAACGCTTCATGTCAAAGCTGATGAACTCTGTGATTTCCACTTTAAAAAATAATCTTTCTACATCATTATGATTCTACTTGAAGGTCAAGTATGAATGTTAACACAAGCATTGTAAATTGTAAATAGAGACCTGCTTTATCAAGTCAATCCTATATCTTGTAAAGAGAGACCTGCTTTATTGCGCAAAAAGTAGTGAGATATATCTTAACTCTTCTTCGTCTAAAAATAAATATTGCCAATCATTCTATTCACTCACTAAAATATTATCTGACTACTCTTAAATCCGAAGTATCTGATAAGATTTTTATGATTAATTTTTTAAACACGCTAGCTCAATTTTTTTTAATCCACTATCTTTCAAAATATTATGTAATTTTATTTCACTGACCGAAGCAACAGCGTTACATTTAAAAAAGAAAAAAAAAACAGTAAACATTTAATTTCCTAAAGATTGCAGATGGAATTTCTGGAATTGGAAAAAAAGAAACAATTTATGATCCTGAAAATGGTAGTATGTTTTCAGAACACAAATTTATCAAGTAATAAACCCGTTTTTAAGCAGTAATAACCCGTTTTTCTCAATAACAGTCATGATATTAACAGGTTTTTTCTTCGCTTATAGTAAAAGTCACATTTTACAAAAAGTGTAAAACTTTTCACCACGCTTTAGCTTTTGCTTTGAAAAAGAATAAGTATAAAAATAAATATTAAAAAAAATGATTAAATCTATAAAAAAAAAGTTGAAATTTTAACTACAAAATTTATTTTTAATATTATATGTAGTCAATAAAAAACTCTGTTTACTATAATTAAATGTTTACTTCCTAAAAATTATTTTTTTATAAATAGTAACACTGATACTCAATCTTATGCCAAAACACTTTTATGCGTAGTAAAATCAAACAAACATGTTGTGAAACAAAAGTAAATTCAGACAAACAAGTTGTGAACTAATAAAACTTTTAACCTCTATAGTGCGTCCAAAAACAGCAAGTTTTTGATTGTTTTTGTTTTAACGTTCATCAATGAATATCGTCTAAGGCAAATGAAAAGTATTGACTTGACCTTTCAAAATGTCATGGACAAAAAATATTTGAAAGAAAAATGTAGCTCCCACAAGTCGCTTTTACCCTTATCACTTTCGACTTAGCAATTGGAAAAAAGTCTCCATCTGATTATGTGTTAAATTGCATCCTAAAAATAACAAAATTTGGATATCAAGGAACCAAAATGTAACAAATGGTTCAAACAGAATCTATTTGTGATACATAATTTGTGGTACAGAATCTATACAAACTGTGGTTCGCAAGGCAATTTAACAAAAGGCTAAAACAGTGCCTATATGTTTGATCGGCTAACTATGGCTCGCAAGCCAATTTAACAAATGACTAAAACAGTGAATATTTTCTTGATCAGTGATCGTCAAACTGTGGCTCGCAAGCCAATTTAACAAATGACTAAAGGAGTGTCTATTTGCTTGATCAGTGATCGGCAAACTGTGGCTCGCAAGCCAATTTAACAAATGACTAAAACAGTGTCTATTTGCTTGATCAGTGATCGGAAAACTGTGGCTCGCAAGCTACATGTAGTTAAATTTACGATTTAAAAAAAAACTTATATTTGAATTAAAAACGGATAGCTGCGGTTTTGGAGTTGAAAAGTTGGCTTCATTTGCTAGATTATTTCTGAGGGATGATGCTCAAAAGATGCTTTTCAATAGCATTCTGACGGGTTAAAAGGTGCCATTAAAAAGAAATAAAATAAAACCTTTATTGGTGTCAAAAACTCAATTTATATGTGGGGGGGGGAAGAAAGCTGACCCTCCAATAAAAAAGCCGTTTTGGGAAGAGTTGTAGATGACATATATTTTCCAAAACGTATATTTTCAGAGACTTATGACTTGAGTGATTTTATAGCAATAAATAACTCAATGGTCAATTATAGAATAAGTGGCATATTCAGGTATATGATCGCAAATTATATATGCTCAAAAAATGTTTTAATTTCAAATGAATTTTAACTAATGCCATGTTACATGAAAAAAAGAAGTTGGAAAATTCAAGAAAATAGAAGTACGTAAGACTGGCCTTTGAAATTTCAATTGAATAAGCCTGCGTTAAAAATGGTACTAAATTTAAACTTAACTTAATCTTACAAGCTCTTGATTTCTAAAGCTTGATTTTATTCATTACAACCAAAATTAATTTTAATTTATTTATAAATTAAAATCTAGTTATCTATCTTTAAATTTAGATTATATCTGAAAATAACCTTATATTTCAGCTAAATACTGTCGTTCAAAAATGAAAACAAATATAAATATCAATTAATTTAATATTCAATTTAAATACAAGAGTATTCTAAATCTAGATAAATATGGGAATTGACTCATCAAATGTTAATCAACTCTGAAATTCTGAGAATGCGTGTTCAAGCCAACCAGGCATAAATATACATTCATGACATTTCCACAAAGAATTTGAGTATTACGAAACAGCAAATATCTTTTTGGTTGTTGATTTTATGAGGTAAAATAGAAAACGTTAGTTACGAAATAAAACTAGCCAAGCATGAAATAAATGCCGACGCAGACACACCTCCGTTAAATTCACACTGATTGGCTCAACAAGTGGATGGGGATTCTAATGAATTCAACCCGGTGAATAAAATGAATCACTGAATATTCACAACATTTAAAACCTGTCACAAATTCATCTTTGTTAAATTAATGACATTTATTTCTTATTGGAAAATAGAGGTTAGAGAATTTACACATTAAATGTTATATAACTTAAGTGGATGGGGATTCTGATGAATCTGAGTAAAATTATTCAGAAAATTTTAAACTTTCCTTTATTTTATCTTTAATAGATGAGTAGCATTAATTTCTTATTGGAAAATATAGGTCAGAAAATTTACACATTTAAAGAAACATAGATAATTTCGCACAGAAAAATAGATAATTTCGAACAAAAAATGTAATAATAATATACATTTTTCTATAGCTAAATATAAAATTAGGCATGGCATAGTAAAAAAAGTATTATTTAATTTGAATTCTTCAAATTGTAAACAAATAAATTAACATTTGCTGTAGAGAAACGAAAATATTTAACTTTTCAGATCACTGTTATTTTAATCGTAATTATGAACTTATACAACTTTACAACATGATATTCATCAGGAATCTTATAACATATAATTATGTTAAGTATTCTAACAGTATGTAACATTTTAACAATTTTAAATATAAGTTATACACATTTCTATTATTAATGTAAATTTATTCATTTAAGTAATACATTATCTCACAATCATTGAATTTCATTTTTATGTTTATCATTTATTTTATAACATTCAAAATTATGACTACAAATTTATTTATGAGTTCAACCGTTCGAAACATATTTAAAACGTTTTACTTATCTAGAAATTAAATTTGATTGAAATTATTGCTTTGCAAAATGGATATATTTATATAAATTTGAATGAATTGCAGTCAGACTTTAAAATAAGTTTGACAAATTTTTTTTTTTAAATAAATGAAACTTTTCTCTAATTTAAAGTCCTTTATCATATTTCTTATCTTAAAACATATTCTAATTAAATTTTTTTATATGATCTTTAAGTTTCACTTAGATAATATAAAATTTTTAAACAGTCCATTATTATGCTAAGTTAACAATATCTTTGACATAAATCGTATCCTTTTTTTTGTTTTTGTTTCATAAAAATGTTTTGCTTCATTTCATTTTGTTAAAAAAGATGGAATGAGCTAATTTCTTTCAAAACTGAAAGCATTTTAAAAAATAAAAAAGCAGAAACTAGAACTAAATTAAAATTATAATGATTTAATTTTTATAGCATAACTGAAATTTAGAAAAAAGTTATTTTAAATCATTTTATAAACAGTTTTAATTTAATGTGAAAAGCCATTAATAAAAAATTATAAGTAATGCGAAAAAGAAGTTATATCACGAAAAAAAATAATTAATAATACTTAAAAAATTATTTAAATTAAAATCTTCAGAAAAATATGAGCTTTAAAAATGAACACTAAGTTAATAGCACTATTTGCAATAGTTAATAAAATATATTGCAAATAATATTTTTCTTATTTATTTCTTGTTTTCAAAAACTATTGTTTATTTTTTTAAAAAATCTTTTTTAATTTTCCAAGTAATTTTAAAAGGGTAGAAAAACTAATATTGATGAGTTTTTAAATTTATAGCATAACAACCTAACTAAAATTGAAAAAAAAAATTTAAAATAATTTTTTTTCCTAAAAAATCTTTATAATTTAATCATAAAAAACATATTTCAGAAATCATATGCAATAAGTAAAAAAAGAGATAGGTCATATACGAAGTTATACTAAAAATATTATAACTAACCTGCTTTAAATTCACAACAATTTTACAAAAACTTAACTTAAAAAATAAAAATTATTTTAATTTAAACAATTGAAACAGTTATTAAAAGATATAGCAAAGAAAATAATATTTTTTCTTACTCTTCTTCTGTTTCCAACAACCATTGTTGCTTTTTTTGTAGTTTTTTTTTTTTTTCGTGAAAAGTATTTAAGGCTTCATTAATTACGCGACTAATCAGGACCGCTATTTGTTCTGGTAGTGGAAAATTTCAGAAACGCGGAGTTCTAATAAACACTTATTGACGTCACTTAAAAGTAAACGATGATTGGAGGAGATGAATATTCTTGTATTGAATGCGATAAGGAAACGTCTACTTCAGAAATTTCAATTCCAGGAGGAAGGAAACTAAAACTGTCTTCCCTGCTCAGCTCTTATGATGTGAGAGGAAGTTCGTAAAGTGATAGAATAAAAAATGAACGTTTAGTTTTCTGTGACAGTTCTGTAATGAACTGGCTGTTGAGTCTTGTTAACTCAGCTTGTATTGATAGTCATTGGGGAGGTGACAATCTGGCTATGATTTGATTACGTCTTATAGTTTGGCGACTGATTTTTGTAACAGCTGAAACAAATTATATATGAGTTGCGCAATTTGAGGCGTGCATAATTTGGCGAGGTAAATGAGTGCTGTAATAAGTGTATTATTGAACTATAAATATTTTTAAAAAAGTAAAAAAATAATGCTTTTGTGATTGACGTTCCTTTTTTTTTGTGTGTTTTAGTCCATAAGGAGTATTATTTTTTAAGCTGTTTCAAATATTTGAAAAATAGCGAATTAACCTTTAATCGTTTCATCCTTCTCAAGAAATCAGTTAAAAAATAAAATAAAATTTTAAAAAAACTTTAAAAGTGCTTTATTTTGTTTCAGCACAAAAATTTAAAAATATTTCCGATCGAAAGTTGTTATAATGAAGACAGAATAAAGGGATAAATACAATTTAAAAGAGAAAATGGAAAAAAATTATAACTATAAGAGAATACAAAAATGTATAGGAAAAAATAAAGAAGAAAATTAAGCTTTGGATAAATTTTTGTCAGTCTGATTTTAATTTGATTTGGAAAATTAAACGACTGATTTTTGCAACAGCTGAAACAAATTACATATAAAGTGCGCAATTTGAGGCATGCATCATTTAGAAAAGTAAATGAGTGCTGTAATAAGTGTATTATTTTGCTGTAAATATTTAAAAGAGTAAAAATAATTGTTTTTGTGATTGACATTCTTTTCTTTTTTAATGTAATTCATAAAGAATATTATTTTTTAAGCTGTTATAAATATTTGAAAATTACCAAATTAACATTCAACCGTTTCATCCTTCTCAAAAAATCAATTAAAAATGAAAGAAAACTTTAAAAGTGCTTTGCTTTGTTTCAGCGCAAAAACTTACAAATATTTCCTATCGAAAGTTTATGAAGACAGTATAATGAAGACAGAAGAAAAGGATGAATACAATTTCAAATAAATAATGAAAAAAATTAGAACTATAACAGAATACACAATTGTATAGGAAAAAATAAAGAAGAAAATTAAGCTTTGAATTAATTTTTGTCAGTCTGATTTTAATTTGATTTGGAAAAATAAACGACTGATTTTTGCAACACCTGAAACAAATTATATATTAATTGCGCAATTTGAGGCGTGCATAATTTAGCTAGGTAAATAAGTGCTGTAATAAGTGTATTATTTAACTATAAATATTTTAAAGAGTAAAATGATTGGCATTGCTTTCTTTTGTATTGTAATCTATAAAGAATATTATTTTTAAGCTGTTATAAATGTTTGAAAATCAGCAAATTAACCTTTAATCTTTCATCCTACTCAAAATCGGTTAAAAAATAAATTTTAAAAAGCTTTAAAAAGGCTGTATTTTGTTTCAGAGCAAAAAATTACAAATATTTCCGATTGAAAGCTGTAATAAAGAAGACAGAATAAAGATAAATGCAATTTAAAAGGTAAATGTAAGTTCAAAAAGAAAATTGAAAAAATGATAACTATAATTAATGGCATAAGAGAATACAAAATTGCATAGAAAAAAAATAAAGAATAAAATTAAGCTTTGAAATAATTTTGTCTGTCTGATTTAGAAAATTAAACGACTGATTTTTGCAAAAACTGAAACAAATTATATATGAGTTGCGCAATTTGAGGCGTGCATAATTTGGCGAGGTAAATGAATGCTGAATAAAGTGTTTTATTTAACTATAAATATTTAAAAGAGTAAAAAAAAATGTTTTTATGTTTGACATTTTTTCTTTTGTATCCATAAAGAATATTATTTTTTAAGCTGTTATAAATATTTGAAAATTAACGAATTGAACTTTAATCATTTCATCCTACTCAAAAAATCAGTTAAAAAATAAAATAATAATGAAAAAAACTTTAAAAGTGCTGAATTCTGCTTCAGCACAAAAAGTTCAAAGTATTCCCGATCAAAAGTTGTTATAATGAAGTCGGAATGAAAGGATAAGTGCAAGTTCAAAAAGAAAATGGAAAAAATGATTACTATAAGAGAATACAAAATTGTAAAGGAAAAAATAAAGAAGAAAATTAAGCTTTGGCCTGCGTGATGCTTAAGAGAAATTTCACTTTTTGTTTACGCGGCTGCCAAATATTCCATAATCACTCACCCAAATAATTTAAGTATGATTTCAAGGAGAATTAAAATAATTTCTTTGATATTTAAACATTAAATAATAACAACACATAATTATAATAAAGCTAAACATAGTAACCCAAACTAGGCTTCACAAACTAAACATTTTCTAGAGCAGTAAGTAGATGAAACTGTTTTTACTCTTAATTATAAATATTTGTAAGGTGTTTTCTATTTAGGAGTAAAAATTGGCTACATATTTTTCATTTCTTGTTTTTACTTCAATTTAAATTTTTTTAAAATTACGAATGTTAAGAGATATACGAATTCAATACAGTTTGTTTTTAAAATAACAACAAAGAGAAGACAGGCAAAATGGCCACTTGAGTGTTCGTTATGTTGGAATGTTTTAATATTTTAACAAGCTCAGCAAAACTGTCAATGCTGAAAACGTCAGTGACTTTGAAGTGACTGACAACACTTTTGAGTTTTTCAACTCATTTAAGGCTGTTTTTCTAAGGCTCCGTCGTAATATGAAATGATACTTTTGACGAATAATATGCTATTTTTATAACTTCTGTGAGTTTGCAACTGTTACTTATAACTGTTAGGTCAAGTTTAGCCTATCTAAAGCCAGCACAGTTTACACTTATTTTGAAAATGGTGCAAAACGTCAAAATGGAAAATATGGAGAAAAGCCAGAGTTTCGAAAAAATGAAAAGAATTTGTTCTAATTTTTTCCAATGCTGCATTACCTGGGCTCATAAGAAGTTGCAAAAACTGAGACTAAGAAAGTGATTTTTATAATTTTCATCAAGGCGAGAGAAAAAATGTCGCTAAATTTATGATTTTAAAAAAAGTTTAATAACTTTTAAAATATTTAAGTTTTTTGTCTGTTCTTAAGCCCAGATAATTCTTCAAGGCAAGATTATATATATAGTTCAAAATTATAGCATTACTTCTAGTGTAAGGCAATTAAACTATGGCTTTTTTATTTTCCTTGGTGACAGAACTTCAAAAAACAGTTTTAATAGCTTTTTCGAATGTCTGATTTTATGTTAACAATATAAAAATTCAACAGCTATATAACAGCTAAAAAATACACTGTTTGATTACGCGTGATTATTAAAAAGATGTGTATTTGAAAACGCTAGATGGTGATAAAATAAAACAAAAAGTTGAAAAAAGGGGTTATTCAGAATTGCCCAAACTCTGAAGACAAGGAAATTTGGATTATATATTTTTGTATTTGATGAAAAAACATCGAGTTCAAGTACAAATTTAGCTAATAGTTCTATCGTTAAATCTGTTATTAACATATTGTAGATGAAGAATCATCATTTACTTTATTGTGTAAAATTAACTTTAAATATTTCTTAATAAACGCAAAATTTACTTTTCATAGATATTACTTTAATTTGTATTAATTAAATATTAAAATTAAACTTTACCGCACGTTCAAAATAATCACAATGACATTTTAAAAATAAAATCAACGTATGAATTTTAAAACAAAGCTATTTTTAAAAACTCTATCAAGATTCGAAACTTGATAGGTTGGACTTACTTTTGGTATATATTTTAATAATTTTCCGGGTTGAAAAGATACCGTTAAAGTTTATCACACTTTAGAATGGCTACTTTACATATTTTGATTTATTTTTCCCATTTAAGAAATCAATAAATTCAATAAAACGAAAATATAACTAGATTCCTTTATACTGTCTTAAAAAAGTTGAAGTTAAAATTCTTTGTTTAATCTTTAACTAATAGAATTTAAAGATAAACACATGTTTAGAGTTAAATTTCTCGTATATTTCTATAAATAGCTCCTTTTTTAGAGATAAACAATTTATATCGCCATTTTCTATTTTTGTTTCGATCTTATCAATATTTGTTCATTTTTTGCGAAAACGCTGATCAGATTATTGCAATAACCAATAGACTTAAATCATTTTTAGAGTTTTAGTCAAATACAAAATTTTTCCTTGTCCTTACATATTATCATTTTTAAAATCTATTACTTAATTTTTTTTCTTCTAATTTTTAACTCCTACTTGCGTAATATTTTCAAGTGTGTTTATCACCATCAAATAGACAGATAAGAACCGATTAAATTAAGAATTTTTTTTTTCTCTAACTTACAAAGAAAGTCAAATCGCGCTGAAATTTTGTATACAGTTAGAATCTAAGGCTAGAAAATAATAAGTGAACTTCTTTATTTAGTATAGATTGCTTAAAAGGCAACTTCTACAAAAAATATGAGACCAATTTTTCAAGTTAGCAATCGAAGGTCTGTGTTAGGTGTAAAAGGTTGCTTTATTTTAAGTATAATTTTCCTAAATGTGGCGATGTAAGAAATATACTTCCAAAGTTAACACAACTAACAAAATATTTGATAAATAAGTTCACACTACAAAAAGTTTCAAAAGAATAAAAAAAAAATTCTGAAAGAAGAAAAACATTTTTTTTTATTTTTATTTTCTTTAGAAAACAATTTCATACGAATTTTTATAATCGTTTTTTATTTAAAAAAATTATGTATTACGGACCAAATATTGTAATAAAAACTCTCATTCTAATTTTGAATAAGCTATGAACAAACTTTGTATTGCAAACAAGTTTTTTTGGAGTATTATTTCTTTTTCAATTTCTTTTTCGATTGATAGAAAACGAAGAATGTCGGTCGTTCCTTCGAAACAAAATTTATCTGCTTTAATTTTGTGTTTTTTTTTTTAGGGGGTGGGATTTCTTAAAATT